AACATCTCAATGTATTTTTTTTTTAATTATTGTTTAAAAAATAGATAATAATAAAGCATATAGACCCCGCTTACCTTCCAGCGATTAGAAGTCATCGACAGAGCCGATATTCAACAAACCTGTCAAAGTCTATCACTCACAGTCTAAGCGAACCTCCTCCCCCACCCCTTAATGTGCTCCATAAGTTATTAATAAGCTAGTGATTGTTATTCTTTAAATCTATATTAATATTTTTATATTTTGATTTTGGTATTTGCACCCAACCAACCAAATTTGAATGAATTTCGGATTTCATTAGTTTTCGTAATTATAACATGTTTAAAAGTCGGGATCGGTATACATAAATGTTAGATCACAAGTCGCAGACACAGGTCTTTTTCGAATATATAGAGAGATATATACCAAGAGCAAAAACTGACAAAAAGATTGGGTATGTAATACTGCAGTATGATTGGATTGCTCTATTCTAGCATACAAACTGGAAACACAGCACTTAAAAGCAAAACGCATCCCAGTCTTCACGAAAAAGAAAAATTTCCACAGGACATTTAACACAATTTCAAAATCAACAAAACGTTTTTAATAATGTGTTTTGGTATTAGTTAAAGCGTCGGGATCGGTATACATAAATGTTAGATCACAAGTCGCAGACACAGGTCTTTTTCGAATGATCCAAAAGAGAGAAACAGACCAAGAGCAAAAACTGACAAAAAGATTGGGTATGTAATACTGCAGTATGATTGGATTGCTCTATTCTAGCATACAAACTGGAAACACAGCACTTAAAAGCAAAACGCATCCCAGTCTTCACGAAAAAGAAAAATTTCCACAGGACATTTAACACAATTTCAAAATCAACAAAACGTTTTTAATAATGTGTTTTGGTATTAGTTAAAGCGTCTATATGATGAAATAGGAAATATATAATTTAAAACCCGACCAAAACAAACAAATCTCGGACAAACGGATCAATTTTACTAGTCAGTGCATCAGACCAATAAGAATTTCACCCGTTTTGTCAGTTGGACCCGTGCTTTTGGGATAGACTGAGCCATCCGAGTAAAGTGTAGCTTGCTGATCTGAAAAAAAAAAAATGAAATGGTCAGTCAGAAGTTGTATTAGTCCGAAATATCTGACATTTTCCAAGGTTTTTACGATTTTGATATTTTACGTGCCAGTAAAACCAGGAAAACCTGGCATGAAAAATATCAAAATCGCGAAAAAAGCCTGGAAAACGTCAGATATTTCAGACTAAAATTGGATGTGATATTCTCCAGATTCTCTAGTAGTAGTAAGCAATCTATGAAAAATAATCCTTTCATCCACCATTCTGTTACTTTCTTCTTCTTCTTCTGGTATAGTGCAGGGACTTTTGGGCATCATTGCACTTTGCCCAGAAATCTTATGAAAAAGAGCCTAAAGTTTGTTACACTATTTAAATTCTCAGTAAAATTCCAATAATTGACAATTTTTAAGTTAAAGAAATTATGTATATTCTTTTACTGGATATAATAAATGATTGTAATTTACAAAATTGTGATGTATTGATCACAAATAAAGGATGTTCTTAATACATAAAATTCTATATCAAATATGGCCTTGATGGTTATACAATAAAATTGTATGTTGAAAGAAAACCAGATTTTCAATGAGTAACACATTTTTTTTTTCAAATGTTCTATGGATCTGACATGAGATGGAAAAAAAGTTTACATTAAACTATTATTGGTTTAAATGTTTAAGTGTTCTAAACAGTAAGCTTCCATCTCTGCTGTTTATATTGATGTTAAAGTGTTTATACCCGAGCCCTAAGGAGATTTGAAACTAATGAAAAACCTATCCCCAGTGTTCCTATGAGATCCCCTTCCTCAGCTTTTCTGATTGCTTTTTCTGTAGTTATCATCAGGGGGTCATCCATTAGGGGGAATGTGGCTTTACCTATTTATTTTGTTTTGTGTTTCTTAATTGAAGATTAAATCGGAACATTTTTTCTCATTTACTGATTTAGTAAGGTTTTGAAATAATATACAATATCAGACCTTTGAAAAAAATATACTACTATGTTATACATTGTTTGTGCATTGTAGTTACTTGGTGATATTCAGTGATTCTGAAAATATTGGTCTTTACAAGTTACAGTTGAATTAAAACCAGATCCAAGATAAAGACCTTGCAACTAAGAACCACATTACAGCAAAGACACAGATAAAGGTCTAACAGCTGGGAACCAGAAAAGATATTACAGCCAGGACCAACCTAAATGTCTTTATAGCAAGGAGCCAGAAACTTTAGACATTACAGTCAGGATCCACATGAACATCTCATAGATAGGAACCAGGAAGGACATTACAGCCAGAACCCAGATTAAGAACCTCAAAATGTTCTTGTGTTAAGTAATTCTTATTCATATCTGTTCAACCATGCCCAGTATGTACATTTTTTTCTTATAAAATTAGTGATGCACGTCATAGTATGCACATTTACAGTGTATGCTCATTGTGTACACATCATTTATCATGTTGGAGTTACTTCCCTTCAAAAACTATCATTAGATTAGATTAGAATATAAAAACCATGTTTAGTTATGCAACCTGTAAGTAGTTCACAAATTGCTATAATAATATTGAAAAAAGTTTGTTATTAATGTCTGAAGTCTCTGACAGATATGCCAATGTGAGCCCTCATTCTTCAAGTACAGGGGTGTCGGTTTCTTCCAGAACTAGTGTCAGTTTCACAAGCATCTGCATGTTTGACTGTGCTGATGGTGCACTTCAGTCTGTGAATGCAAAGAAAATAAATTAAATGGTAAGTGATCCTTCTTCTGAGGGACATGAAAAACAGAAGTTGTACAGTTATTTGACATTTTTTCCTCATTAAGGGAGGAACAAAATATGTTGTATCATAGCAGATAGTGTACAATATGTTTCCACTGTAAATTTTCTGGAGGTTTGATGAAAAGCATGCTGACTTTGGAATTCTGCCACAAAATTTAGCGATAATTAAAAATCAAATGAAAAAAACTATTTTTCCCTTAGATTTTTTTCAATGAACATCTGGACAGAATGTTGAGCACAGAAAATATTTGATGATTATCCATATTTTCCCATGAACTCAAATAATTTTGTTTGAACTTTATTTATTTTTCTTATTATCTTGTTTTCAGTTTACCAGACTTGGAAACATTGCTAGGGACATACTAAGTGTGAAAGAGACAGTGGAGGTGTTATGGTTGCCAGGACGATCCAGAGTGAGGGATCATGGGAAACATCACATGATCAATTGTCTGGATCAGCTGAAGAAACACTATTAATAGATGTGAAAACCGGAATGAGGGAGTAAAAATTCATACTTATTATCAATAAACTGAACATTATACCTCTGACAGTGTTAATAAATTCCCCCAGAGTAATATTTTATTGTCTGGTTACTTCCTGAAGCTTCAGGAGACACTGCTAAATGTGATATAGATATATGACACTTTTCCTACAGTAATCATTAGGGACCCATAGTTATGGTTCCATATGACATAATGATTAAGAAAGTCTGAAGAAAACTCATTTTCGGTCTCCAGTCTAGATACAAATAAAGGACATTGTTTCAGTGCACTGTCCAACACCATCAGTGTACATTGTATTTATTATAATTGTCTCTTTTGAATTATTTCAGTTGGAAGCTTATATGTTATACCTCTAAAGCTTAAAGCTGAGACTTCAACTTTCATAGGAAGCCTAATCAAAGAACCAAAAGTATGAAGATTCATATAAATGATTTCTCCCCATTGTACTTATTTTGATAGGTAGTAGATTTATACACTGAAACTTTGTGGTTACCGGTACATTATCAATTGTCTATTTAAATCTATTTTTTGTGAAGTACATGTGATTTTGTTAAGCTTCAATTTCATAGACCAGAATTGATAAAATTTCAGAAAAGCTGATTATAATGAATATTATTTTATGCATGAAAGAAATTAATCAAGAAAGAGATTTTATTTTCTTTATTTTCAATTAGATAAATTGAAAACTGTATAAAAATAAGTTTGTGTCTGAGATTTTTTTTCTCCATAAAATATCAATTAACAGATGAATGATATGTCCTCTAGACATGAAGTAAGTTTGCCACATTAAAAAATAAAAACTTTAAATTCTTTTATGGAGTTGTTCTGAAAAATAAGATGAAACATTACTGATATATAGACAAAAATTCATTAGTAAATAGAAAGATTGTTTAAATGTCTTGATGATTAAAATTGTTTCGAGTTGTTTTTATGATAAAAAAAAATTGATAAGGGCATCTACAATTGATATCAAAAACTTGTAGCTATTGCAACCAAAATTGATATATAGGAAAGATTGTCTCTTTTTGAAATGAATTGAAGTCATGCAAACTTTGGCAAATGAGTCTGAAATTTTTCATTAAAGTATTCAATTTAGTCTTCCATTTGCTGGAAGGAGAAATAAGACAAGGATTGAAAAAGCAAATTTTGAGGAGACAAATTGAGTGTATGATAATTCAAGTTTGTGTGAATCAAATAATTTGTTCACCACAGAATCTGAATGCATTATATAAACACTCTTAGATCTTATGTAATCCCAATTGTGAAAGTAAGTTTGTTTTTATAAAATGGACATATGTTGTTAGCTCATTGCAGAATTTCGTACATATGCACATGTAGAAATTACATATACCGGTACCTACATTTACTCTCTTTAGCCAAATAAGCAGGTGTCTGAAGATAAAAAAAAGGAGGGCTAGCTGTCCCTTTACAAAAAATATGAACATATGACCAAAAGAATAAATAATTTTCAGTGTTTAAATAATACCATAATAGCTGGCAATGTATTGAATAATTAGCTGGATACTAAATGATTATCATTCAGTGAACTAGTCCCCTGTTTTTGGTTAATACCTGCTTTTCATTTAAATTGAGAGGGAGAGATTTTTATCTGTAGTTAATTATTTGTATTTTCCTTAACAGGGGTTACCTTTAGGAAGCAAGGAGTGGTGAAAAATGAAGAGATAGCAATCATCTAAAGAAGAAAAGAATGTATAATGCAGTTATTGGAAAAGAAAAGGCTAAAGAGAAGGGGTCCCTAACATGCAGCAGGCAGTGCAAGGTATCTGTCAAAGTCTGAATCCAGTGACCTTGTGGTACTGAAGGGGGAAGGGAACTAGACAATCAGGTATTTCATCCAGTTACTGAATAAAAATTTAATGCCAGAGTAAACCTGTTAAACATGGCAAGTTCAGATATTTAATTTGATAATTGCAGATTGGTTTGATAAGCATTTAAAGGGATTTTACAGATTTTTTTTTGAAACTAGCTTTTAATTTTTTTTTTTTTTTTTTGCATCAGCATTTAAAGCTTTTCTTGTTATTGGAAGATGAAAGGATAATTATTCCTTTTGATTTTCCTTCTAAATTCAGATTAAATAGATAATTTTGAATGAAAGAGAGATTTTTTTTAATCTTTCCTGCATGTTGTTCTTGGTTAAAGCAAATGTTTTAGAATATCGGTGACATACCTTTCACAGAGCAATCAGTACATTAATTAAGAAATTAATTAAGCATGGAGTGGGATATGTGCACGTCCTCACATGGTGGTTGAGTTGGAGGAAGGAATGACTACCACCCAGTGTAATGGTCCACTAGTGCCTAATTTTATAGAGGACTGATTGAAAAAAAAAACTGTCCAGGGGAAATCTGATAGAATCTCCAGTCCCACATGAATAAGCTTTTAATAAGAGCACTTGTTCTCACTTCTCAGGGAGAATTCGTTAATTGGGTTTTTGTTGCCCTGGCTAGGGAGACTGAGATTGGAGAGACCTGATGTAGTAATGAATTTTGATGGGCTTTTAAAGGCTTTTAGTATGCTCATCATGGATGGTATGAATAAGGTCTCCACATTTACTTTCTGTACATCAGGTGTGATGGGACTGGAGGTCATTAGAAGGAGGAAAAGAATGCTAGTCATCCCAGTATTGCACTCTAATCCTAAACCATGCAGAACAATTGGATGTATAATTTACATGTTTATTGGCAATTACAAAGCAGGAGAATTTATTTATCTTTGAATGCGACTGAATTTCTCTGTGTAGTCTCGTTATTTTTTCAGTGTAATTAATCTTGCAGTTTTGTAACAACCTGAAGGAATTTCAAACTGGGGGTTTATCTTGAAGAAGATGCAATGTCAAGACACAATTTCGGCAAAACATTCGGATGGAATTAATTGCCCTCAAACTTTGGTTTCAATTTTTAATGTTTTTAAAAAATTGAAAAGAGAGAGAGTTGGGTTAATGTTAGATAAATATATATTTTATCTAAATGAGGCCAGAGCCTTATTTAGCCCTGTGTTCTTCACAAAGATATATAGAATACAATTCTTACTCATATCAGGTTGGGTGTATATTTGAGGCCTTGAATGAGAATTTGTAAAAAAAAAAAAAAAAAAAAAAAAACTTAAAATTTCCTATTATTTTGTTAAATGAAAGGAATTTGAGTCATTTTAAAAAAGGCAGGAAACTGTCAGATTTTTTAATTAGAAAAAATGAATTTTTTATGTGCAAATGTTTTCATGAGTATCTTAAATTTATTAATGTTTATGAAAGACTCCCCCCCCCTAAAAAAATGTTGAGCAGATCGATCTTAATTTATCTCTATATACATGTGACTTTACAATAGCCCCCCCCCCACACACACACACACCATGCACCACTGACTTAGACAGAAAAATAAATACATATGTAGGAGGTATTTTTTAAAATTGATTTGAAGTTCATGCAACCTCCACCCCTCACCCATCCCTAAATGAAAACTATACATAAAAAAATCAGTTTATCGAGTCACTTTGAAATTTCTTTTGAATGTAGTACCAGGTATATATGAAAAAGAGAAAAAAACCCAATTAATATGAAGGATTGTGATAGTATTGATCAAACCTTTACAACATTAATTGGCTTCCATATGCTGTGTATTATGTATTATAGTTCTTTTACCAGGATTATTTGTGTACATCCACTCAGCCTGAAATAATATGAATAATATTTTGAAAATAGTTTGAAAGTGCATGTTATTGGTAATTACTCTGATCCTAGTGAGGTACCGAACAGAACATTGATATCAACTTATGATAATGGAGATAGAAAATGCAGAAGTCATGTTTGCTGTGCTTCCTAACTCTCGGGTGGGATTCAATCAATATGGCTGAATATCCTCTGACATGTGCATTGACCCGGGGAATGAAGAGGTCTCCGATTTTCTCAAGGTTACGACCCTGTCAATCAGGCTCAGAAAAGAACGGCAGAAACTTTATGAACTTGTTTAAAAAATGCAAATAGCAATCTTTCTTTGGTTATTTTTGTGTATACCTAGTCATGACTTTTTCAAGGCATTGTCAGATATTTATATACATAGTTTTATTGTTTTTTTTAGTTGTTTTAAATGTTTTTTAACAATAAAATAATTGTTATTTCCACAAAGAGTTAGAAGAGTACATATCAACAGTTAAGTAGTTTAAATAATTCTAATTAAAGTATTAATGAGATGACAAAGATTGGACTGCATGTCTAAAACATTAAAAGTTGTTTGAGTTCTAAATATTATGGGAGCTCTATTAAAGACAATGTCATTTTATTTCCCCCTGTTTCTGTCCTGAGAAATAGAATAAGGTTTTATTCCTTGTTTGGCGACAGTTGGGGGAGCCTGGATATTTTTACGACTTTCTAACCCTAGCTGTTTGCTTCAACCTGTAATTTAATCCCCAAATCCATGGTAATATACATCACTGCATTATTTTCTGGGTCATATAAAGGCACTTTAACATTTCAACTCTTCAAATTAACTCTTTAAATTACAAATGATGTATTCTGATTCAAACGTTGTGCAGGATCTTCCCAGAATGCAGGCTTCTGTTCCGTAATAACAGGTATTTGTCGACCACTGAGAGGTGTGTGACAGCTTAATATTAGACCTGGTCAAGTACAGGATCATAGGACTGTCAAACATATCTTTAAAATTGTTCTAAAATTATCTGGGTTTGGCAACGCAATTCTTTCATGATGACCTAGTAATTGTCTTTTTTAAAGTACATTCAAACCAGTGACTGACGTTTCTCTGAACATTTTCAGCATATCCCACGTAATATTTTCTCAATCTGCAGCTGCTGCTCAGAGTTTTATAAACATTTGAGATGACACTTTTGCTCAACAGTACAATGTTCTAAAAGAATTTTCAAGTCAAATCTATATGTAACAATGTATCAGATTTGTTTACATGTAATACATTACATATCAGATACAAATGCTGATTGTGTTGCAATATGTTTGTTAGGTGTGGTATTTCCAAAGCAGCTGCAATATTTTAAACACTATACTTGATATTTTAAAAAGTGAATTTAAGAATGATGAAGAGAATTAATTATACAAAAGAGTAATACATTGAAGTAATCACACCCTTCAGTTTTGTTTTATTGTGTAAAAACAAAAAATTAGTCATTGTCTTTTACATGTATTTCCAAAAAAATATTGAAAATGGCTTCAAATATTGTATGTATGTCATGAATTTTTAGTGACCAACTCTTTAAATTGATACAATTTTTAGGGATGGCCCTGACAATCCTGAAAATAAAAGTCAAGTAATTCAAAATGGTGTCAACGATATTTAGTTATCTCTAAATATGTTATAAACTAATTAGGCTTATAATAAATGGCAATTTTTAGGATAAAATTGTTACATTTGCTTGTCACTTAAAATTTGGTGTGAATTTGATTCATAAAAATGCATCTATGCTTTTAGATCTGAAGTACATTAAATGTTTGAAGTAAGCTTATCTTCAGTAATAGATCATGACTAAATTTCTAAAACTTCAGTTTCCTCTTTAGTTACAACAAATAGAAATATTATGACCCACTTTATCTCTCAAGTGATAAACTTAACCATGTGTAATGTAAGGAGCCCCTTAATTCCACCACATGGATTGCACAAAGCGCATTCCAGTGCATCTGTAAGTGCACCCTAAAGGGGAATGTCATATCAAATCTTATTGTAGCCCTAACAGCTCAAAGTTATTGCAAAACCAAAAAAACCTTTATCCCATTGCTAATGGAAAATTAGCCTTATCACAGATATGTCACGATTTCAACTCAGTAAGTGAACATTCTTGCAGAAGTAGGTTCATATTTGAGTCAGTTGCATTTGGATTTTTAAAATTATCGGGATCTTTGGAAGAATGAGTCAGGACTTTAACTGTCAACCAGGGTCACATCAAGGGAGGGTTTAATGGAGGGTCTGTGTAAAACAAAGCAATATTGTATGCTCCTAAACAGATGTCATAAAAACTTCAGAACTCACAGAAATAGTTTTTCTGGACAGCCCATATTGATTCCATGGAAGTTCTTTAATTATAGATCATGGTACTTAAGAACCATTTTGGAAACATAAGAAGAGTTTTATACTGGGTGATTAAGGATTCATATTTTCAAAAGACTAGAGCAATTTGTATATGCCATTGGTTAATGGAAAATTCAAGTGTTTTTATTGTATGTCAAAAAGCTGTGTCACATATTTGGAATATGTTTTGCATTTCTGAAGCTGAGTATTGTTCTTGGTAACACCTCAAATAATAACTCTGACATTCACAAAGTTCTGGAATTAATAATTGATAAAGTATATCATAAAGAAACAATAGTTGCTGATACTTTGTCACCTCATTGCTATTTAGTGCTTAGAATTACTGGATTTAAACTACTCCATAAGCAGAATTATTTATGAGGGAGGGACTTTAACCTTAGAAGTAAAACAAGACCTATACATGCATTAGTAAATATATTTTCAGCTCATAAGCTGTGAAAAATATACATAAATACGATAAATCCCTATGAGGTCATGATAGTGTCTATTAAATTATTTTCATTTAGTATTGCCTGTACCAAGAAATCTTCCCCAGGTATCTATTGTTGACTCCAGTATAAAAGCTTTTAGACTGACAGTTTATTTTAAGATGAACCTCCTATCATGTAATGGGCTGCTGAGACAGAAGAAGCTTCTCTGCAGGAGAAGCACTGCACATTGTTCTAATGCTGTTCTGTAACATTTACTCAAGAGTTAAAGTGCCTGACTCTTGAGTTGCCAGAGACTTCTTCATTTTCTTCTTTATTTCTAAGAGGACAATATGGATTTCAATACT